GTAGGACCGCCCGAAATTCTGCAGGATCGACACAACACAACGACAAAAGCAGAAGGAGGACAGAAAAGCAAAAATACTGGCAATTGCATCGCGTTGGTGGTTAGCACGACCAAGTTCAATTTCGTCGTTTGTTTGTTGCGCCATCCACTGTTTCACCGTTGGACAAGTCGCGTTGGACACGTTTCGATCGAACGTGTAGATTTCCCACTCAATTCGATCGCCTCCTGATATCACTTGCTCTCCAGGAACGAAAACCTCGCAAGTGTTGAGCTCAAAACAATCTTTCTTATTTTTTCTTTTCTCATATGCGAGAACGTCAACTAAAGCAAACCCCTTTATTAAAAAAGAAGGCCTTGCAGTCTGGTTTCTCGTGGCATTCCTTGAAACAATCTTCCAAGGTAACATCGCCGCTATAGTAGACCGCAGATGGATTGATGTTGACGTTGGTCAAACTTGCACCCTTGAATAGGGTGAAAGTGCAGGATAGACCGGGAGTCACCTGAAATGGCAAAACATTCTACTTGGACCATTTTTTGCACCAAAACTGGTCTAATCTTCTATGCATTCTTATTTTTGTTTCATTTGTTGTTAGATCGTAATGAGGAAAGCAAAACATTGCGGGACAACTCAAGCTACGGCAAAGGCAGAACTACTGAAGTGATCGTGATGGAGTATTACCTGCGAGAGATGCAGAAGCATGGCACACGCTGTGACGCGAAGCGCAATGGAGCACATTGTTCCTGAAGTTCACCACTGTTGGTCGAGTTCGTGGAACGCGTTCAACCCTAAGTCAACCTTACCTCAAGGGCCGACTCGAGCACAATAACCTTCTAGAAAGCCAGTCGCCAGGAGGAGCTTTTGTGTTGCTAGGATTCCTCTCGAGTGGATTGGAGACCTATTATTCCGACCATTCTATAGTAAAATAGCCTATACGCATATCGTGAAGAGGCTTAGTGATGTCGTTAATGTTCCTGCCTAGGAGACGGGATTTTGCTTCCTGGAACCGCAAGCGATCCGGTTGGACGCTGAAAAGCGTTTGAAATTTGACGATTACCGTAGTCCACGTCTTGAACACGACTCAGCAGGTCCCGCACGTAATTGGTGAATTCTGGAAATGCTTGTGAAGCTTTCCCAGAGAAAAGAAGATTTCGTAACATCTTGCCATTCTTCGTCAATGGTTACGGGCAATGTTGGTTCTGTTCACGTCTCGCGCGAACCCTTTCGTGTTTGTGTGGTCGGGTATTTGCTATACAGTACTCGCCGTTTGAAATCGAAAATTCACGCGAATAACGCGAATCCTCGTTAATTTCGTGAATTCGTTATAACTCGGTTCAAAATTGAGCTTTCGAGAATCCGAAGATATCTTTGAATTCAGCTCGTCGGACACTATAAGAATGTGCTTTGATACTTTGGAAAAGCTCCATATAGGATTGCGCCATGCACTCGATTTTCATCTCAAAAAGTAGTTGCTCGCATGTGATGTGTATATAATCCCGCTTATGCGGGCTGAACCGCTACACACAAAGAAGGGCCTCAAAACTTACCCCAGAATGCGCCACGTACTCAATCTCATCCACTACATTGTGAGATTAGAATGTTATTTTCCGAATTCTTAGATCTTCATTTCGTTTTTAAGCGCTTACTGGCTTTACGTGTTCCCTCTGCTCTCAATATCCCATCCTCTGTATATCAAGTGGAATCTTTGAACAGTTCTCAGCAGGCATAGTGGGCCTATTATGTGACATTTTCCATTTTCAGAGGAGATGTTTTGCAGAAAGCTGTGAAGATAGCGAACAATTTCCTTCACTGTCGTAGACTACGGTCACTTGTCTGTAAGGATTATGTGGAAACCTTGTTTTGCTCCGCCCGCTATCGCGCGCATCACACGACGGTCTT